TGAATAGGAGTTTGCATAAAGTTCTTAAGATACCCAGAAGAAGCCCGAAAGAACTGGAGAACAAGAGAGACAGGTCCCAGACATGTAAATTGAGACTTAAAAAAGTAGGCATTTTCCATAAAGAGGAGAAGACTGGAAGGGCCACTTCACGCAGAGTGCAAGAAATTAATGGGCAGCAAGAAGGTGGCATGCCGAGGGAGGGAAAGGGGACCCTAGGTACTTAGTTAGGCAGAATCTAGGAGCAGAACTGCAAGCCCCTCTTCAGAAGCTAACAGCCTTACATTCCTGTGGGAAGACCAGAAGAATATATACTGTGAAACATTTTAATTTGGAATTTTTACTAAAGAACCAGATTTTTGGAATTAGGGGAGAATTTGTGTAACAGATTCTGTAAAAATCAAGGGGTTTCTTTTGGAGGGGGGGAATGGGGAAGGGTTAAGTGAACTTTCAATCAAAATCACTTAATACATTTTTCTTTGGATGGGATTAATTTTCAGACACTACAAGTGATTTTCAAACACATAAGCTGATTTTGGAGGCTATATTGGCTCTTTCAGAAGTTATTTCCACAGTCCATCCCAGTTCATAAAATTAATTTTGTGGGTTTCCAAAGCTACTCTGGGATGAAAACTACAGTTTAAAAGTTCTTAATTTGCAATCACTGTTTTATTTTCACTGGATTAGTTCAATACGCCAATGACAATTGGTAATAGTGTTCTTACCAGTGCAACAATCATGCATGTCGATCCCTATTCTACAAATGCTAGAAGAAAACCTTTTGTTCTTCAGTAAAAACAAACAAACAAACAAATAAATAAATCAGTGAAAAAATCTTCAATTAGTTCACAATCCAGATGAGAAGAAAGAGCTGAATATTTCTGTCTTCTCATGTCAGAAAATAAATGCTAAACTCTGACCTCGCAAGATGAACAATAACATGTGTTTGAAGCAGTCTGATTGACAGACGGCGTCCAAAAACCCGAGGGTAATTGGAAACAGCAAGCAAAATAATAGCAAATGTGTTGTCATAACAAATCAAGCTGGTAGCTTCCCAAGGTCAAGGAGAGAGGATTCTTTCACAGGATGTAAGCTGGAAATAGGGGCTGGAACTCGGAGATTGAAGGCAAGATCCTGCCAGGTACAGAACTAAGAACTTTTACATGTATTAGCAATTTCAATCAATCCTCAGGAAGAAAGTATTATTACTCCCATTTTGTAGATGAGGAAACCAAAGTTTTGCTGTCTTGTAGTTTGGGTGTGGTGGAAAATCCCTGGTTTCTGGATTACTGTTTTCTGCTCCAGCATCCACAACAGACACTGCTCAGATCTTAGACTAATAGCTGCACCTGGGCTAATAGTTCCTCCCATTTACAGATTGTTTTCACATTGTGAAAACATGAGTGCTTGTTCCAAATCACACAGGGAGTGAGTAACAGAGTTAAATTCAGAACTCAGTTATCTTGATTCCTAGTGAAGTCCACTTCCCATCGGCTGAACTGCACCTACTTTCTACTCCTTCTATACTGCATATCATACAAAGAGACTAGAGGGTTTTACTCTATTATAATGGTGGCATTTAAAATGTATGCAATTTTGCTGTTTCTGGCTGAGACTACATAAGTCACAAAGTTATCAATTTGACAGTATCAACCTAGGAGTGTGAATAGTAGTGAAATGTATTTAGGGTTTATTTAACTTGTGAGGTTATTGAATGGAAGAACGGTGATGACATTTTGCACAAAGAAGGAAGAGACTTAATTTGTTCTCTTTCTCTCACTTATTAAATAAAGGCCTTGAGTCACAACAAGCTAAGCAGTTATCTCCATGGAATGAGACCAATAGCACTGTGCTGCCTTGAAAGGTGATTCTTAGTTATGTGTTTTCACTTTCTACAAAGAACTCCAAAAGAGTTAGAAAGTCAGGAACAAAGTTCCTAAAGATGTTGTAAATGAGGGTCATTTACTTGTCTCTCCTAAGAAGTTAAAAACAAAACAAAATAACACAGAACAAATAAACAAAAAATGCTCAGGTGCCAGCCATTTTGAAAAATGCGATCTGAAAAGCAGTACATTTTATGGCCTTGTTTGCAGAATTATGAATTAATATGTGCTCATAGCCCAAGGCCAAAATATCCCAGTATGTGGAAAAGTTTTTTAAAAAGCTATACATCTATCATTGCTTTCTAAGCTTTCATGGTAATTTGCATGACTGGGGAATTAAATGGATCTGTGACACAAATACACGCTAATTTATGCAGTAAATAATGGCATATTTTAAAGAGATTCAAAGCGATCACAATAATGGCAAGCCAACAAGTCTTTGACAATTAGCACTGCAATGAATGCAAAAACACAGAGGATAAGGGATAGAAATGAAGGTGATTCTCAGAGGTCATTTCCAAGAATATCTTATATATTTACATGACACATGGCCAAACTAGGAATTTTGTGTAGTCTGTACGAGTGGCAGTCATGTTCAAGCTCAACAAGAACAGAAGAAACGATTTGAGAACTGCCTTTAAGAGAAGCTATTGGGAGAAGAAAGAAAATGAAACGGTAACTGAATGAAAACAAGAGCAATTGAAGTTAATACTTTCAAGATTGCTCAGTAAGTAAGAATTATGTTTAAAAATCCAATGCAACTGTTTCTAAAAGATTTGAGTGTGTAGCTTATTGCTCAGAAATGCTTTTGTAAAAGGATAACTATGTTTCTGAAGTGATCCAAATTATGTTTCAAGTTATTGGACTTAAACCTTGAAGTATAAATAAAAATACAGAAAAAAGGTACATATGCTTGTCATGACTTGCTAATTAATTTGTTATTTCTTCTGTTATCTTCACTTACCTATAACTTAAAATTGTGGTTCTCAACTTTAATATTCCAGGGCCCCACTACAATTTTGATTTGCTAAATTTGGGGATTGCTCTGGAATCTCATTTTAATAAGACTTACAAAGTTCTCATATAGGTCAACTGGAGCCCACACCTTGAGAAATATAGACTTAGACCAATTTCCATGGGTGAACTCTGAATTTGCACCTTTATTATGGAGTGGTTGGATATAATATGTGCTCTCATATATAGATTCAATATATATATATATATATATATGTTTTTTTTTAGCGTAAATCTTACCAAATCTCTGTGTCTGGCAGCACAGAGCCAGAAGAGAAAACAGTTCTTGATGTTGGGAAAATCCCGTCTCCTCATATTTAAAATAAGAGTTGGATTAAATGCTGTCTAGACTCCTATGTAGTTCTAATACTTTATGTGCATGTCTGATGCCTGGCAAGTATTTCTTGACAATTATGACTCATGTGTTGGCCAGTGTGGATGGAATGGGCCAGGAAAAACATAAATCAGTCTTCAGGCCATGAAATCAAGATTAAATAAGATTCTCCTCCCCACTCTCATATTTCAGCCACAACCTAGGGAGCTAGAATGGCAATTAAAATTTTAAGGAACTGTCTACATGCAATCAGAAGTCAAATGTATTGATTGTCAAGCTGCCATCTCTCCGTGGACAGTTGATGATTAGTATAAATAAAAATTATGTTTAGAATACTTTTAATAATTCTGTCACCAATAAACCAAACACAGCTGACATCATTTGTATTACAAATAATTGAATTCAGAAGGTTCCCATTTGACTAGCTCTATGTTAAATGAAAAACCAAATCTTTTGCTGGATGCTGTAGAAGTTTTTTTTTTTTTTGTATAGGACAGGGACTGTGACATTAAGTCATAGAAAATAATAGTAGGCTATTCAATAGTAATACTGAAAATACTCTATATTAGAGAAATCATGATTTACATTTCCTTGGTGTATATTTTACAGAGGGCTATACATGATATAAGTGGTTTTAAAAAAACTGCTTGAGAGTTGATTCCAGTCACAAATACAAATTTACTTCATATTTCCTTAAAAACAACTATAAGTAGTAATAAAAAAAAATGCTCATTATTATTTATTTAAAATAACTGCATGTTATGTAATACTGGTACTTAATATTTCAAAAAAAAATTACTGCTTATTAAGAGACATTTGCAAATACCTATAGCAAAGCCTGAGTATAAAGTGGAGCCTCCCCCATTCATTCACTCATTCATTCATTCATTCGCCTGTTCACCAAACATTCAATGTGTGCTTCCAAGTGCTAGATGCTGCTCTAGGCACTGGAGATGTTGGGGGATGGAGGGGGAATGAGAACTCTGTGTTCTCATGAGGCTTAATTCTAAGGGGTTAGACAGACAACAAACAAATAAGGAAATGAATATATAATCTAACGAATGCTAAGTAGAAAATAAGAGTAAGGAACAAAGGGAGATAGGAAGTTTTATATTGATTTGTCAAAAAAGCCATTTTTGGTAAGGTGCCAATTGAGCAGATCCCTGGAAGTGAGGAATGAGCAATAAAAGAATTGGGGAAAAAAAGAGTTCCAGGCAGTGAGAACAGAAACTGAAAAGTCTGAAACATCCTAGTAAGTACAACATGATATGAGAAACTCAGGCTTTTTCAACAATATTAGAGGCTCTCCTGTAGCTTACGATCTCTCTTTTCCACTAAGCCTCTTTAACCACTCAATCCAAGTGACTTCCTGCTCCCCTCAACAGCAGAATTTAACTTGTCATTTAATACAACTAAATGTGGCTTTGTTTTGTTTTGGTGGTAGGATGAGTCTGATCTCTTCGATTGTAAACTTAAGAACGAGGATCATACTTGATGCTATTTCTGACACCAACTCTTCGCCTCCTCCTGCATGCCTTGGTATTGAACTTATGTCAGATTCCTAATAAAGGTATTTGATTAACCAAAGGCTGTGTATGCAAAGGTTATTTGCAAATTAAAGTCCTTAATGGGAAATGTTTCCTTGTCAGGATACCCTGGGTGTGGTATAGAATAATTATTAAGATCTAATATTTCCATTTGCAACTGTAAGCACTCACCTCTACATATACAAAAGCTTACGTAAAAGAAGAAACACATAACAAATGAGGAGATATATTAAAATGCTTTATTCACAATAAAGAAATTTTACAAATATAGTTTTTAAAAATTATGTGTAATCTATTATGTTTCTCATAACATTAAAGATTTATATAAAGTTGGAAATGACGGAATGGACTTACGTACAAATCAAAAACAATCAATGTAAGGAATGAGTAATACAGATGAAGGAGTTATGACAAACATTGAGTTCTGTAAATTGCCATACAACTTATATGTGTAATATGAATTGCACAAAGTATACCAAAAACATAAGCAGAAACACAAAATTAAGTGCTATTTTAATTATTCTCTTTTTAGGTGAAACTGCTGAAAATGACAGACACTGTCTACCTAAGGACTTCAGTTTAAAATAATTAACATAAAATAGAACTTTAATTAAATTACATCACCATAGTATTAATCTCTTAATTCATTTACATTTTTGGTGTTTTGGGATTTATATTAAAAAATTCAAGTTCTAGAATGGGAAAAACTTTATTCTTGCCATTGGCAGACTAGTACAATCTTTTTGCCTACTTATTCCAGGATACTAAAGGTACATTATAGTGCACTGGGTACATAAACCTGATCTTAAAATCCCATCTTCTACAGAAATACATATCATCTTTGTGCTCTTTCAAATCGAATTGGAAATCAAAGAAAATTAACTTAAAATCAAAGAAAACTACATATAAAATTGTAATCTAAATACATGCGGTCCAATTTTGGCAATAATCTCTTACATTTTGCCTCTGAGTCCTGGAAAAAGGACTCTCATTATCTATTCATTTCATAAAGTGTCTGAAGATATGAGTGGAAGATATTCTGGGTCTCAAAACACATTAACATGAAAATAATGATGTACCAAAGGATCTTTTTCATTTACTAATTTTATTAATTTATTCTTTGACATATACCAACGTACAATAGTGAAAAAAAGAGCAGGGCACACCAGGTGGTCCTTTCAGACAAGGAAAATCTTTTGAAACACTTTCAAAAGCTGAAATAACTAAATTAAGACTATTGAGATCCAAGAAAATAACTGTCTTAAAAAATATCAGGTTGAACCATATGAAATTGCTAATATTGGATAGTTTTTAAACTACAAATGCAACCATTTCATATGCTTCAGCTTAATCTTGGGGGTTGCACTGATCTATTTTATCACGGTAGGTTGAAAATGCAGGTGGTTAAAGTCTTTGTACCTCAGAATATGCATCATCATATCAGCCCTTTCATGGGACTATATATAAAATATGAACCAATATGATAAGAAAACACAAATTGTTGCCAAATCTATTCTTGGGAAAACTACTCATATCTCAAAACAATGCTTTGAAGAATCATATAACTATTTTGATCTGCTACAGATTGTAGAGATTGGCAGTGTCCAATTCTATACATTGGTTCTAAGCTGGAATCTCTATGTTGAATTTAACCTGACAAAACATACTATACTCTTATTTGGCGTAAAAGCGTATTAGATTTTCCTCAATTGACTATGAATAGAAATATTGGCAAAGCTTTCAGAGTTAAATCCCGCTTTCATAAACTGAAATGAAAAAATGTGCTACATTTGAGAAAGGTCTTTTTTCAAATCTGAAAAATCTGAACCAAATGTAATACTTTCTTTTTGTCAAGCAAAAAAAGTTAAAGATGAAATGCAAACTAAAAATCATATGAAATACTCACCATCTCTTTAGAGAGACCCAATTCTTCATTTATTCAGTAAAAAGCGAAAGCTAACATACTAAAAGTGATACTATTTCCCTTAAAAATATAAAATTCGGTAATAGTGGAGATGTGCAAAACTTGAAAACTCTCTTTGCTATGTGGTGGGGAATAGAAGAAATTAACTAGTACATGATCCAGAAATGACAGGGCATTTGAAGTAAAATCTGAGAACTAATTCACAAATCAGGAAACACTAATATAATTAACCAACAAAAATATACTATAGTTCTAATGAAATGAGGTCAATATGCAATGATCCTTTGGGATGACATTCTAATTTGAATTAAAATGTGAGTGAAGTATTTCAGAAGACATTCTATCAAGTAATGATAGACCCGCATAAGGAGGCTGTCACAGTTATAAGATCTGTCTCTGGTGGATAGACAAACCATATTAACATGAAATTGAAAAGGAAAAAGCTTTTTTAATATTTAATTTATTAATTATGGCTTTTTGCAACATGGCAAAACATTACAGCTTAAAGCAGACATCATCTCCTCATAGAGGAGAAAAAAGTTTTGCAGTCAAATCAAAATTGTAATTAAGAGGTCATTGGTATACCATTCTATTCAGTTTAATAAAAATGATTTTATATTCCTTTATGAACTCCAGAGATAATAGATTACTTAAAATAAAAGAACCTGTGATCTACTGACTGAAAAATAAAAGGTACCATAAGAAATTTAGGTCCATCTAAGCCTATAATAATCAACATAAAAGACTGCAAAACAATTTAGAACTTGGAATAATCACAGACCTAGTAAGAAAAATCATCATGTGCCTGAATATCAGAAAAGGAATTATTAAGGTATGCAGTGAAGGGAATGGAGCAGAGTAAATGATAAAATGTCTTTTTATTTTTCATTGACTTCAACTTCCTTTCTATTTGGAGAGAGTATAGGGAGAAGATGTGCCTCGGTATTGAAGATCCAATGTTCCAGTGGAAGCAGATCATCATCAGAAAATATTAAGTACAAATATCTGGAGAGAGCAACATGAGTATATGAGGCAGTGAAACCACAAAGGTACAGCAACAAACATTGATATCTGTATTCATCTTAAGGAGAGTCATGTACAACAGTCAAGTATACCAAAACCCCAAGGGAATAAACTCATTAATGCAGAGTGAAGAAGCTACTCTGCTTTGGTATTAGCGTATGAGACCGTCAAAGCAGTCCCAAGTTATCAAACTTACACAATGACTGAAATCACACGTGCATTATTGCCATGCATGTAGAATGGCATTCAGAGGCAGTCATATTTGATAGTGTTTGAATGTGTTCATGATAAAGACATCCACAAAGAAGATCTGTCCAGGTACGTCAGCCACATACTTTTAGAATAATTTTTACTTACTTTAGTGTCTCTGCCAGGAAGAAACTCTGCTGCACATCGTCATAACTGTTGTGTTTGAGGTAAACATCCCTTAGGCCTGAATAGCCTCCATTCACTCTGCAGTGATTTTCCAGGGCCTAAGTTACAACGAAGGGAAAAAAGTGGCCACATTTCAGTAGACTGATTGCCACTAATTTTTGCTATTAGATTGTCAAATTAAAAAAAATATATAAGGATTCAAGTCAAATGACAGATTATAACAGTTTTAGACGAAAATTTTAAAAGCTATAAAATATAAATGCAAATAGTATATGAAGAGTTAAAGCAGGGGTCTCAACCACTGGGGCCGCAGATTGGTACCGGTCTGTGGCCTGTTAGGAACCGGGCCACGCAGCAGGAGATGCGCAGCGGGAGAGCGAGTGTAGTTTCATCTGGATTTGCAGCCACTCCCCAGAACTAGCAGCACCACCTCAACTCCACCCGAGATCATCAGGCACTAGATTCTCATAGGACCACCGGTCTCTGATGCCAAAAAGGTTGGGGATCGCTGAGTTAAAGGACATATGGACAACATATCTTCTCACCTAACTGGAAACATTTCTAGTTTTTGAATAATTTTTCAGTGATTTTTACCATATCCTCCTATAATTTAGAGATTAATAGAAAGATTATTCATGTCAAAAGGGATTGTAAACCACTGGTTGAGAAAGTAAAGTGTATTGGACCAAAAACAGTTGCTACTATAATCAGAACATCTTATTTCTTAAAAATTGATCGTGGAGTACTAATTAATGATATTGGTGACAGAGATAAAGGAAGAAAATGAAAGCCGTGAAAAAAATGTGGCTTGTATCTATTTCTAAAATATATTTTTCTTTAGTCTAGGCTTGAAGAAGATGGGATGAATCCACTGGTAACTATCTAGAGAGAAAATATCTTACATTCAGTTGTCTGACTACAATGAGTATTTGGAATAGAGATGGGTTGGGCAGCGTGGCAATGAAAATTTAAGTAACAACCTAAAATAACTTGCCTTCCATTTAGTCAGCTGCCACCAAGTTAACTGCTCTTCATATTTTGAAATTACATTGGCTGCTTTGCTCATTATCAGGTCTATTCATCTTTAGCAAAGTTATTTTCTACTCACCATATCTTACTAATCCTATTAACTATATGGTCAGAGAAAAATTACCATCTGAAATCTGGTTCTAATTCACAGAATGTGGACAAAAAAAAAAGACTTTAAGACAAAAAAACCTAATATTTCTAATGAAATGAACAAAGAAAACATTAACAAGATAAAGTTATTCTTAGGTTCTCATGTCATTTAAATTTATTTTTCAGTTTTCTCCTATGAATCATAACCCTGTCCTTCTTTTTTACATGCATAATTATACCCCATTTTTCTCCCATTGAGCCTAACTATCAAAAAGATGGAGAGCATAGACCTTGCCATATTAGTTGAGGGGAAAAAAAAAAAATCTTTATTGGCTAGGAAAAGGTTTTGGAGGAAAACGTGTTTCTAAGAATGCAGAGCCCAGAAAAGAGGAGAGAAAAAGCAAATCCTGTGAGGAAGGACATGGCAGCTCTCAGCTTCCATCTGCAGATACTGATAATGAGGAAATTGATTTTTGCGAACGAGGGCTGGAAGGCAGAAGGGACAGAGCACGGGATCATGAGGAGAAGCATTTAATTACCAGGTTAAAGAAAATCTAACTGGTAGCCTACATGTATAAAGAAAATGTCTTATGATTTTGTACTTTTTAAAAGCTCCCGGGAAAATAAGATCAACTTTAAAAAAAAAAAAAAAGCTTTGATTATGTTCTTAGTTGCAGACAATGAACTAAATGGGGGAAAGCCTAGCAGAAAGGAACTTTTAGGTCCAGTTATTACTTTTCCTTCCTTCCTTTTTTGATCAAAGTTCTTTTTAGTAAAAACTCAAACACCAGATACACTGGAATACGTTAAAAATGATTTGTAAAAACAGAAAAAATTGGGATTTAGAAGAAATAGGCAAGTTTATTATTATGGAATGTGACAGAATCCTATTTCCAGACATTTCTTAAAAGAGATTTTAACCACAAAACTTTTCTTGGTTTTTCTCTTGAAGTCTTTGGGTAATAAACAAAGGAGAAGGCCAGGCCACCTTCCCTCCCATAGAAATTTCTTTAAGCTCCTTCTTTTGTTATAGAAAGAGTTGTTTTGGAGGACTGACAATGCCCAATTGTTTTTCCTCTTTTTGGTTTACCGCAGTCATTGTCTCTCACAGTCCTAGTGTGGAGATACATAGTAGTTAAGAACACAATCTAAAGTTTTAGGGGGCTGAATCCCAGCTCTAGACTCGCTGACTGTGGCCTCAGAGGTTCCCGAACCCAGGCAGTGACCCTTTGCTCAACATGGGGTTGTCGTGAGAGTGAAACAAGATGAAGACACTTCATACAGTGACAGGGCCCGTCAGACATTCGGAGAGGCCTAACTACTTTTATTTTTTGAGGCTTTTGGTAAAATAAAATGCCGAAGAGGCATTTTAAACCTTTAAAAAATAAGAAAACTTTCAAGTTAAGTCTAAATTATAAGATTTTAAGAATGTAAAGCTAGGGACAAGCAGCTCTCCTGGGCCCGGTTTTACAGAATCTCAACAGTGGAAGAAAGTAGCTATGTAGCATGGCCTGATCAGAACATCATTTTACTACAATCTCTTCTTGGGACTCAGCCTGTAGGCATAGGGACCACCTCAAATTCAGTAAACTCTTACATTATTAGAGTCCATATGTGACTTTGATGTACGAACAGCAGAGGGAAGGTCAGGAGAATGTTTACCAGGTTAGATAAAGAGCTGATCCGTGGAGATCTTCAAGAGTGGACCCTGGGGAACAATGCTAATAATAAGGCTAACTGACCCCAAAGGTGGAACCAGGCACAATGGACTTATCACAGAATCTGAAAACAGGGGTAGAGCCTGGGGAGGAAGAAGCAGAAACTGGGAAGACAAATCACTGTCTGAAAGCCAGAATGTTCACATGGAAAAGGTTAAGATTTAGAGGACTAGAGAAAAATGTCTGTGCAAAAAAAAAAAAAAAAAGAGAACGTTCCTATAGAAGGCTTATTTGCTACTGTGGCCCAGTGGAGACATTATATAATCTTTACATATCTATATTTATAGATATTATATAATCTATATTTACCTACATATATAAATGTATATGTATAACTTTCAGTATGAGCTTTGTCAGAATATTAATTACACATGTAATTGGGAGGAATTTAATAAAGTCTTCATGACATTAGTAAGATAAAGCAAAAGAACTATCCAAGTAGATGTTTTTTCTGTTAGGTAAATTCCCAAGTGCTTGAACACCTGTGATTGATGGATTGCTGGTAACCTATAGAGGAAGTATCTAGTGCTGTATGCTGGATTATATACCTTCAAATCTTGTTTGAAATTGCTATTCAGAAATGTAGTTAAGCCATAGAAAGCAGGTTTATCAAGTGATCAGTGAAAGAAAGCTGGGAAGGAAGTGCTAGCCAGACGATAGAAAGATGGGTAACTAATACTTTACAAACTGTAAGTATGGGTGAGAACAAGCACAGAACAAAAGAGATGTCTCAATAGTAGCTAAGGTAATAGTTAACATCACTGACCACAATTTCAATGTAAGCCAGAGGTTTTATAAATCTATTAAAAGAATATGTTAGACCATAGCCTGTGGGAAACAGCACTCAGAGAGAAGTTCTTGAGCCACACTGCTCGGCCCTGAAAGACCACAGCTGGAAACCTCATCATGAGAAGGTAGAGGGAAAGGACGAATGAGGATACGGACAGTTGGCAGAATGTGCTGTCTTCAGATAACTGAGGACCTGAAATGTAGAAGAGAGAGAGAATTTCTTTCCAGTACCCCCAGAGCACAGGACATTGTCAATCCTAGTTTCAAAAGAAGTAACTTTCTAACACTTTCGGCCATTAAAAATGGAATGAATTACTTTATCAGTAGTATATCCTCTTTTGCTACAAAGTCCTAGAATTGATGAGGAATAGCCATCTGGCAAAGATAAAGAGAGGAGTCTTTTCTTTCAATGGAAGCCTGGCTTAGGTGATTTTTAAGATCCTCTATGTTTTAGTTTGCATTCTCCTGAAAACACAGCATAAGACAAGAGTTGGATGCAGGAAGTTTTTTGGGGAGGTGATATCAGGAAGTGAGTGAGTGGGAAGAGAAGGGAGAGGGGCCAATGAAATACACTGAGCAGATGACAGCTGTGTGCCACAAGAGCTCACTCCCGCTGGAAACTCTCTGAGGAACTGTGTAGGTTAGGTTGCATCTCAGAATTATTCTTCAAAGAAGGAAGAATTTACATTTCTGTTGTATGTTTCTAGCAAGTTCCCAAATGATGCTCATGTTGTTAGCCTGGGAACCACACTTAGAGAACCACAGGGGCAGGCCCCGTCAGACTATGCAGTTGAGGATGGGATCAGTGTACCCTGAGTCGCATGGGCTGCATGAAGGAGGAAGAGGGGGAAGAGAGGAAGGAGTTAAGAGTAGACTTTTGGTTGCTGACCTCCAACTGGTGCTCCTCAAACCTAAATGTGCACGAATCATTTGGGGATTTTGTTAAATGAAGATTCTGTTTCAGTACGTCTGGGGTGGAGCCTCAGATTCTGCATTTCTACCAAGTGCTGCTGATGCTGGTGGTGTGTGGACCCCACTCTGAAGGAAGAGGCACTTCGCCTCCCTTTCTCTGGTTCTGGCCTTCACTCCCGCACAGCTACATGCTACAGTAACTTCCTAACAGAGTTCCCTGCATCTCAGTTGTGAATAGTCCAACTGCCCCCTTAGATCAGTCCACAACACTCCCTATCAACTACAGAATCCAGTCCAGTCTCCTTGGTTTGGCATTCAATGCCCTTTGAACCTAGTCTCCTGTGTGAATCCTTAATTCCAGTCAGAATCTCTGTAAACCAACCAACCAACCAACAACAACAAAACACCAAAAATCGAAAACGAAAACAAAAACTCAAAACAAAAAGCAAAGAAGGAAGGAAGACTGGAATAGTTATTCATCAACTCCAAAACCTCACTGGTTGAGTGAGGGTCGCCCCTAGGACCATTAACTCCCACACTTTCGCAGACCATAGCCAGCTGCCTGGGAAGTAGCTCTGAGTCAGAACAGCTGAGAAGCACAGGCACTTGAAGTGACATTGCCAGCATGTGAGGGCACTGCCCACTGCATCTGCTGCTGAAAACAAACACAGGGGGCCAAGGGGATGTGACACAGAAAAAAAGTGCTGCCACACCTTCTAAGCCTATGATTTTTCTGCTTTAAAAGAGGCAGGAGCCGCCAGCCCTCCTCCCTCCCCACCATATCTCAAGTTCTAGTAGAAGCTACTAGTGGCAAAAACGGGATCCCTGTGTTGTGACACAAGGAAATAATTTTACATTATATTCTACACTAAAAGTCAGCAATAAATAAAATTCCTAACACATAAAATGAACCTTATTACTCCATAAACAAAAAAACTCCCCTGAAGAACCAAGCAAATCAAAGCTTCCTGCCCATATGGCAATAGAGATTTACTTAATTTCCATTTTGATCAATCTGTCATACATTTTTCACATTTTAACATCTCTAAAATTGGCATGCTGTTATTTAATTGGTAGTGTTATACTTTCTTAGTGGTATATAAAAGAATGGTGTTTCTTATTAATTATGGTGTTTTGCATTTGATGAAATGCTATTCCCAATATTTTAAACTATTTGCATATTAATTATTTTGTTGGCTTATTAAAGACTGAAATAATTCCCTATCACCAAAGCTTAGATAAACTTCAATTTTAATACATTTTTTAGAGAAAAAAACAAATTTAAAGAAATTGGAATTACTACTGAGTAATCATAATTAGAAAACTTTGCAAAAAATAAAAAAGAGGTCTAAGGAATTGCTATTACTTAAAATGACTGATGACTAATGATAAGACACACACTAAATGAAGAGGGTTAATAAGCGAGATTCATCAACGGCTTCCTAAGATTAAATTTTACACAAAGGCAATATTCATCTTAAGATTTCCCAAGAGAAGTAATTCCTAATGGACGGTTTTTAAAGACAGCTAACTTTCTAACAAAGAGAATAAGAGAGTGTAATTTAAAGCAGTTGCTTGTTCTTATCCCCTGAATTCCTTCCCACTCCTTTCAGAACAATAGCTCTTAAAATTAGACATTGTTTAATGCGTATCCTGGAGGGTGCCTCTGCCGGCATCCAGCACACATTAGTTTAAAAAAATGA